TGTGCGTGCACACGCGAGTGCTTTCATGGTAATTATTATCAGCTGCTGCCTCCATGAAACAACCCCTGTCCAAAAGTCAATGTGGCAAACCCTGGAATTCAAGCGGGGTCTTGATGCACCAAACCCAGCAGCGAGTGCTGGGGGATACAGGAAGGCTACAGCCTTGTCCCTCCCAGCTGCAGCTGGCTTTAAACAGGCTTTCTCCCGAGCCAACCGTGGGCCAGCCAGTGGAGCGACTGCAAAGCCAGCACTGGCCCTGGCAGCCTTTGGACCCTTTCTGATCCTGGGCACTATTATGAGATATTGGCCCAAGCGGTGGAAGCTGGTTTCAGCTTCACGCCAGGCAATATGTCACCTCCGCTGATCAGCAGTGACCTTGACCTTGACTCAGGCCCTGGTTCCCACTGAGTCTGCGCAGCTGGATTGTGGCTTTTGGTGCATCTGGCTTTGCTTTGTCTTTTAAAACACCCGGCTCCCTGCAGTGCCCATTGCAGCCAATGGGCATCTTTTCTCTGGCTTGGGATCCGACCCACAGCCCCAGGGGACTGAAGGCCTCTGTGCGGCAGCCCCAGTGCTGCCCTCTGTTGATGGGCCTTGCCCTGACATGCCGGGGAGGGGAAAGAGCATCTACAAAGCCCATGCAAGGCCTGATTGCTCAGCTGAGGCTGCTAGCTGGGTGCCGGCTGAGGTGGGGTTCATTGGCGGTCCGGGCAGCTGTTCCCTAGTCTCTGCTAGTGGGATGGGAGCAGCCTTGGTCACTACCAACTAGGGCTTGATTGGAAGGGGTGACCCACCCCATCACCTTCCCGGCCCTCTAGAGGGTCACTTTCCTCTCTCACTCTCTACCCCCACTACGGTCGCTGTCCGCCTGCCCCCTTCTGTCCGACCGTGGCGTTCAGAGGAGCAGGAACCCTCGTGGTGGTGAAACGCCGGAGGGGCCCATGCGATGCCCCTGGGTGCAGCAGATGGGTCGAGCAGTGACACCCTGGAACGCAAAACGGTGACAAGGCCAGAAACAGACCAAGAACCAACCATGCGGCCCTGGGAATGGACCTCCGGGGCTCCCCCACGTCCCCAGTGCTGTGGGATCCCGCCAGGGCTCCCTGCCCTCTTGAGTCCCTACAACAGGTGTGATTCTCACCCTGGCTCACCGGCTGACCTCCAAAACAGCAGCTGCTCCTTAGCTCCCGGAATAGGCCTCTTGGCAGCAAACCAGCGTGCCCAGGCGAAGTGGGCAGGAAGGGAGTGGGAGCAACCTATCGATCCAGCCTGGGGAACGGGCTTCTTGGAGCCTGGGGGCAAGAGAGGAGGGGAAGAAAGATCGACAGATGGGACTAAACTAAGACCCCCAGATCTGGCCACCCCGGATCTTTGGGGCTCAGATCCTAAGGCGAGTGGGGATGGACAGCTAGCCAGACAGGATCAGGAGCCAAGCGATGCAGCCTGAGTCCATCTCTAAGTCAGACAGACCAACTGATCGCTTTGCGTCTGTTGTGTTATCGCTGGAGATTAAAGGGTCCAAGGTTTGATTTCTCGTTGGGGCAATAACTCTCCTGTAAACTCTCCCTGCAGAGGAGCGTTCATCTCCCTCCCTCCCTCCCGAGTCGGGTGACCAGGTACCAAGGGTGAAAAATTGGGACATTTTGTTCTTTTCTGGGGTGGGGGTATAGTTGCCTATATAAAACAAAGTCCCTAATATTAGGACAGTCCCTATAATATGGGGATGTCGGGTCACCCTACTCCCGAGGGACCCGGTACGGCTTGTAGAAATGCAGGCGGGTGCCACGCTGGGGGCTGGGAGGGAGAGGGCAGGCTCCGGAGGATGCAGAAGGTCCTGGGACCTGACATCTCTAGTGATTTCCCCAGGGCCGGGGTTTGATGGTTCCCTTCCTGGGCTAATGAAGGCGCTGTGTCACCGAATGAGAGCGGCTCACTCGTTGCCCGCTGGGCAGCAGCTGCAGACGTGGTGTCTATTGCTGGCCTCGAGGAAGAGGCTCAGCCGGGCTGGGTGACTCAGAGCTCTCCCGGCAGCTCTGGAAATGGAGATCGATTTCCTCCCACCCCCAAATTATCTTTGTGCCAGCCAGGGGTTCCTGGCAGCTCTGCTCACCTGCCTGCAATCAGCGTCACCTGCTGCTTTCGGACTGCGCCACCCACTGGCCCCCAGGCTCACCTGCCCACATGAGCATCCTGGGGGTGGGATCAGCCCTGGGGCCCCACCCCCTGCAGTGTCACTCAGCGCTGGTGTCAGCCATCTGCAGTGGGAGCTGCCTGCAACTGGTGACGCCCATATACCCCTCACTGCCCCTGCCTGCTGCTGAACTGCCCCCCAGCCCCACGTCACCCCCACTGCAAACCGCCTCCCCCTGCACTCCTCGTAATCAGCATCCCAGAACTGGCAGCTCAGGACCCCCCTGCTATGAGCCACCACCGGGACTCGGAGGGGGCCCATCGCTGGCCACAGCTCAGGGGACGTCCCCCGAACCCGAAGCCCCGTCGGGTTGGGTTTCCAGACCCGGCAGTTTAACAAGAATTCCCACCCCGTAAATCTCTCTGCAGCTGTGTCCCCCGCCGCACGTAGCGCCTCCCCGCACTGCGCGTGGTTATATAATGGTTATAAAGGCTAATCTGATCTCTGTGCAGTGCCCAGGCCTTTGCCATCCCAGCAGCAGCCCCACGCCGGGAGCTCGTGTGATGCTCCGCCCAGTTCCACCAGCTCAAGGTCAGTGGTTCAAATCCCCTGCAGCCCGGGGTGACCAAACCGTGGCTGCAGGGCAGCGGTTTGGTCGTAGGGTGAGCGTCCACCTCCCAAAAAAGGCAGGCTGCCTGTTAAGGGTGGGGACGACTGTGAGCTGAGTCCCTGCTGCCTTTCACATCACCGACAGCACTCCGGCACTTGGCCTCACGCCCCGAATGACCATCCTTGGAGAAAATGGGGTCTTAGTGATGTCAACTAGACGCATTTTCCCCTCTGGCTCCCGTGTAACTGGCTTCCACAGAGTCACTCCAGATTTGCACGGGTGTAAATGCTCTGGGAGAGCTGGCCACACCCGCAACTGCTGTTACTCCCAGCGTGGGTGTGTTCACAGCCTCACCCTGCTGGGTGTTATTCCATAGGTGCCTATGCAGATGGGGAAGCCCACTGCTGATTACTGTGTCTTGCCAATTAGCTGGGAGGCAAACAAACCCTAATGAAAGTGGGCCCATGGCCCCCACGATGCACTGTAGCCATCTGGCTGGTGGGTGACGCTCGTTCTAGTTCTGCCAACAGCAGCCTGCTAGAAAGGGGTCCTTGGTAGATTTAAGTCTTTTGCTAAAGTGTTCCCCTCTGCTGTTCGGGAGGAGGGGCGACATCTCTGTGTGTGAGAAATCGAGGGTTCAAAATTCGGGGGTTACTACGGTCAGAGCAGTGGGCTGGGAGTCAGGACTCCTGGGTTCTACTCTGAGGTCTTGAAGGGGAGAGGGGTCTAGTGGTTAGAGCAGGGCGGAGGCTGTGAGTTGGGATTCCTGGTTTTTATTCCTAGCTCTGGGAGGGGAGAGTGACCATGAATGAACCCCTTCCACCTTGGGATAGTAACTCACATCCTTGTTCTTTAGGGCTTAATCTGGTCTGTAACTACAAGACCCCAGGATGGGCCCTAAGGTGGGGGGCAGGTTATCTCACATCTGCTTCCTGCAGCATTTCTTGCACCTTCCTCTACTGCACCCGGTACTGGCCCCCACCCCGTGGCAGGCAGGAGGGTGGACTAGAAGGACCTCGGGTCTGATCCAGTCTGGCAAAGCTGATAGTAGGACATGGGAGCTTTGTGTTACCATTAACTCTTCCCACGCTCCTGCAGGGTAGCTGCTTGCATGCCCCTCTCTCAGCTCCCCGGGGCAGTCACTGGAGCAGACAGCGGCTCTTGTGTCACTGGAGGTGATGCTGACTCAGATGCGGAGTCATCTTAATGAGCAAGAGTCCTCGCCCCAAGCAGGTGGCGTGCGGCGTTCCTGTTCCTCTGTCTGCACCGCGGTGGCATTTTCTAGGCTTGCCTTGGCAGGAGTTTATTTGCAGGGAGGATTCTGGTGTCCCCCAGGTGGATTGTTCCCATAGAAATAGCCGGCTCAGAGGAGAGGCCTGTGGGAACCAAGCAGAGAGTGCGGGTGACTGGTCAGAACAGGGGAGCTGGGCAACAGGATTCCTCCTGGGTCCTCTTACTGGCTGTGGGAGAGAAGCGTGGTCTAATGGTTAGAGCACTGAGGCTGGGAGTTCAGACTCCTGGGTTCTGTCATTGGATCGGGGGGGCGGGCGTGCTGTCTAATGGTTAGAGCAGTGGGGCTGGGAGTCAGGATTCCTGGAATCTATTCCCAGCTCTGCCACTGTCTCACTAAGCCAGCTTGGGCAGGTCATTTCCCCGTGCCTCAGTTTCCCCATCTGTAAAATGTCTGATAGCCCTGACCTCCGTCACCAGGAGTTATGATAATGTGGTATTTGGCTCTCAGAGCTGAGTCAGCTCTATAATCCCTCATTTTTCAGACAGGGAAACTGAGGCCCAAAGAGTGGAAGCAGCTCGCTCAGGGCCAGACAGCAAGTTAGCAGCAGAACCCAAAACAAACCTCAGCGCACTCGACTTTCAGCCCAGTGTGCTATGGACTACACGACGCTGCCTCTTCTAGGGTTTGCTTTGAGATCCTCCGGGCCAAAGCCCATTAAACCCAATGGGAGTCTGTGACCCTGGGCAGAGGGAGAGGGGGTGTGCGCCCTCTGCTGGAACAGGTGCAAACTGCCAGCTCTAGATTTAATGCACTGCATCCTGGGAGTTGGAGTCTCCAGCGCCGGAGACAGCCCCGCCTGGGCTTGCCGCGGCGCGGTGCACGCCGGGAGATGTAGTTCCGCGGTGCCCGGGGGGGGGGGGGGGCGGGGAACTACAGCCCCCGGGAGGCGGTGCGGCCGGCGCGTGCGCGGTGGAGCCGGCGGCGCTGAGCGGAGGGAGGGATGGCGGCCTAGCGTGGCCGGGGGCATGTGGCGGGTGCTGAGGCTGCGGGCGGCGCTGCTGGGCCGGGGGCCGGCCTGGCTGTGGGGCCCAGGTAACGGCGGGTCCAGACAGAGCGGGGGGGGGCTGAGCCCCGCGCCCCTCCCCCCCACGGGCACAGAGTCGGGGGGGGCTGAGCCCCCGCGCCCCTCCCCCCCACGGGCACGGAGTTGGGGGGCGCCGAGCCCCCCGGTCCCCTCCCTCCGACGGGCACGGAGTCGGGGGGGGCTGAGCCCCCGCGCCCCTCCCCGCCACGGGCACGGAGTTGGGGGGGGGGCGAGTCCCCCGGCCCCCTCCCTCCCAGCAGCGTGGTGAAGGTTTGTTCCCAAATCCCAGGCATAGAGCCAACGGGGGCCACGGAGTCCCTGACCCTTTCCCTGTTGCCCCTGCACAGCAGCGGGGGGGTCATCGAGCACCCCCTTCCCCTCCCCGTTGTCCCATCCCCTCTTTGATAGCCATGCTGGGGCGGTGGGGGGTGATGGGGCACGAGCTGCTCCTCGGGGGTCGGGCAGTTTTTAGTTTTCTCTGCACAGTCCCCATAATGGGGAAGGGGCTCCCCTTCCTCTGAAGTGGCAGGGCCCTTTGGGGAGGAGCCCGGGAGGCTGGTTCTCCACTCGGCGGCCCTGGCTCGTCCCTGTGCTGCTGGGGCTTCTCGATGTGCATGGACCAGCGGTGACTCCATGTGCGTGTGTTTCTGCGTTGTGCCCAGCCATGGTCGAGGGGGCGTGCAGGGAATCACCGAAATGCCGGGCGGGAAGGGACCCCCGGAGGTCATCTCGTGAGCAGAGCAGTGACTCCATCCATCTCGTCCACCCTGGGGTCAGGACCTCGCCCTCATTGTCCCTTTTTGCTGCAGGAAGATGGACCGTAGTGAGAAATTACTCCTCAGCCAGCGCAAAGGAGGAGGCCAGGAGAAGAGGCGCCTGCGGCAGGGCTGAGTTGCTGGAGTGTAAGTCGGAAACATGGGGGAGAACCAAAGGCATCTGTTCCCATAAGAGTCTCACCCCCCCCCCCCCCCCGAGCAGTCTGGGTTTCCTGGTCAGTGGGGTTTATGTGCAGACCTGTAGCTTGGGGGAAAATGCCCCTGTGGCAGTGAGAAGTATCCTTTAGCCAACTCCACCGCCTGGCTGGCCCATACATTGATGTCAGGTTTGAGGGGTTCTCAGCCTCTTCCCTGCTCTGACCCCAAGTTACAGTGGGGCAAAGGTTGGGGAGCCCTCCCACCTAGCCGTGAGGAGCGGGAGGGTGGTTGCGAATGCTTCCCATAGTGCAGTGATGCAGATAAGGCGAACCAAGGCGGGCTTGCTCTCCAACCCTCCAGGCTGCCGTGCTGGGCCGGGAATGTGTGCTTGCCTAAATCAGGGCCCAGTGATGGGTTAATCTGGCTCTGGATATGGCAACCTTCCAGCCACCCCCTGGTAAGGCAGGACCCACTGCTGGGAAACACCACTCTAGGGGGGCCAGGCCATCTGCCTTTGCCACACTGGGGCACCTTGGCCAAGTCACTTTCCTTCAGTGGGAACTGGGGATCACGCTCGCCTCCCCGAGGCTGGGGAGGGATAACTCACTCCTGTCAAAGAAGAGTGTCAAGCTGAGAATCTGGTGTGTGGGGAGCGACGAGAGGCTTGATTGGTGATGGGGGGACCTGGATGGAGACTGTCTGCAGTGACCGTGAATCACTTTAATTTCCCGTTCGCTCTCTGGCGTGTTTTCTCTGGCAGTGCTGGAGGCTCGCGTCAAGCAGCTCCAGGCTGATAACGTCTCGGAGGTGACAGTTGACCGAGTGGACGTTGCCCCACTGCGGAAGAGCAGCCTCCGGTGCCCTGCGCCGACTCCGGCAGGGAAGGAGCCTGCTGCAGAAGTCAGGGAGGGGGGCGTCTCCTCTTCCGGGGCCCCGTCCCAGCCCAGCCGCTGGTTTGAAAAGCTGAAAAAGGAGAAATGGATCAAGCATAAGAGACAGTTGAAGCTGGAGCAGAAATTCTCCGCGGCTGCCTCAGCCCCTGGTGCAGAACGAACTAGCCCGCCGTTCTTGGAGCCAGGCAAGGCTGCTGGAGCCAAAGAGAGCCAAGGCAGGGCCAAAGCCGTTCCCCCAAAGGGAGGGACAAATCCAAAGGTATCCAGCAAATCCAAGACCTTCCGTGAAAGCCCCAGGGCTGCGGTGGCTCCTGCCCAGGGCTCTCCCAAGCCGGGCTCCCCTGCCAGCCCCTGTGCTGCGCAGAGCTATGAATGCAGCAGACTGGAGGAATTGCCCAAGATGGGGGAGCTAGAGGGGCCAATGGCGTGGGAACCAAGGCTGCGGCTGAAAGACAAGGGGGGTAACAGGTATGGGAGCATCCAGCTCATCATCATGTCCTACCTGGAGAGCTGCCTCTTCCTCCGCCAGCCCGAGAGGGCCCATCAGTGCCTGCTGTTCTACCACCGCTCCCATGCCAGGAGGAAGCAGCTGGGCATCAAGATGTATAACATCCTCATGCACGGCTGGGCTAAAAAGGTACCTTATCCCAGTAACCCACGCTGGTGTGATGGGGGCGCTCACCCTCCAGTGGCCGCGCCACATACAGATGTTTGGGTTAGCAGCTGGCTTTGAGCTAATGGGTGCAAGCTGTAGTCGCATGTTTTTAGATCTGGAGGTCTGAGGTTCGATCCCTGCAGGGAGCATCTCTTTTCAGTACGCACCCTTGAGCCAGGCCCATGGGTCTGTTTTGAACGGGGGATGGCATGTTTCTGAGGGTGGAGTTTTCTGAGCCATTTGATCATATTTATTCATTGCTGAAATCCGGGGAGATTGATTTAAATCGTCAAGTGAGAAGCCTCAATTTAAATCATCGATTTTAATCAACTTTTCCGTTTGTACTTCAGTTATTTTCTAAAGAAAGGTGCATTCTCATTGGTTGATATAACCATTGAAACATGCTAATTGACAACTAAATAGAGCCTTGACACTAGATTTGGTACCTCTTTTTGCTTCCTAGGTGGGTACGCTATAATGGTAGAACGTTTACCTAATCAATTATCACGTAATATTTTCAGATTGTGTTAATTAATTGTGTGTTTTTAGTATGTTAGAAAAGTGATGCATTGCTTATTTACTAGATAATCAACTTTTTGCTCATGATCTGTGTCAAGCTGCGTTAGGATGGTAACTGAAATTTAATTAAACACACAAAACAGCATATCAAATTTATTTTCATTAAACAAAACAAGCCCTTAATACAGGACATGATTTATTGTGCCATATTTTTAAAGCTTGACCCAAAAAGTTAGATTTTTTCCCCCTACTTCTTTCTTTATATAGAAAAGCAGCCTTTCACTCAAAATTTCTGATAGAGGCTCATAGATTTAGCATATTTATTTCCTATTTAAATATTTTAAGAGATTATAATAAGTTCAGGCCTTAACCTATTTTGTATTAAATTTAGATTTAATTTTAAACAGGTTTATTTTTAAAAAGAAAACATAGGTATATCTCCATATATTAATATCTCCTAGAACTGGAAGGGACCCTGAAAGGTCATCGAGTCCAGCCTCCTGCCGTCACTAGCAGGACCAAGTACTGATTTTACCCCAGATTCCTAAGTGGCCCCCTCAAGGATTGAACTCACAACCCTGGGTTTAGCAGGCCAATGCTCAAACCACTGAGCTATCCCTCCCCCCCTAATTTTTAAACAGCAAAATCAATCCCCCCCTAATAATTTAAACAGCAAAATCAAAAAAATTCAATTTATATTGGACAAAAATAGATTTTTTTTTTGTTAGCCTTGGGAGTAATTAACTCGAGCGGGAGTTTAGCACTGATGGGAGGAAGCAGCTTGCCAGCCGTGGGGACCGGGTCCTTGGCGCTGGTATGGCATGGGGAGTGGCAGATTGTGTGCCTCCCACACACACAGCCACTCAATGTCTCTCAGCTCTGACTGGACTGGAAGGGGTGAGAGGGGAACCCGGGCGCCAATGCTCGTTCAGTCTGGCACCACTGGGGCCCAGAATGGGGCCAGTTGGGATGGTGGTTTGGGGGTTGCTGCCAGTTGTAATGCCCACTGGGAACTAGTCTGAGACCCACCACACTCGGCTCATGCAGGACCCCTTGGAGCCTTTCGATGGTGGGACCATTCAATGGCTGGGTTCAGAATGAAGCAGGTTTAATCTGGAAGAGAAATGGAGGGGCATGGAGCTTGAATTGATCTCTCTTCCTCCTCCTCCTCTCAGGGCTCCTTGAACAAGATTGGCCGGCTCTTCTTCATGCTGGAGGAAGCTGGCCTGAAGCCCAATCTCAGCTGCTACGCGGCCGCGCTGGAGTGCATGGGCCGCACTCAAGCCCCCGCCACAGTCATCCTAAGGTAACTGTCCGGGTGTGCCCGGTGTGCTATGCCGCCTCTCCCTTTTCCACTGTTTCCCCCGGGAGCTGGGAAGAGTCGGCTCTCTAACGGCTCGGGAGCTGTGTGGGATCAGCACGGGAGATCTGCCTTCTCTGTGGAAATGCAGATTTGGGGGTTGTAGCGAGCTGCGCTGTGGGTTTGGTTCCCATTGAACCAGTGGGCGTGGGCGGGCTGGGGCAGAGCTTCCCTGCCGGGCAGGCTGGGGCACGTCCTCCCAACCTGCCGCGGGGCACGTGCAGCTCCGTGTCTCGCAGTGGGGGACAGAACGGGAAGCAGCCAGCGGTGGCAGTGTGACGGGACATTGCGCGGGTGCTCAGAAGGGGAGCCGAGAGGAGCAGGCACTCAAATCTCAAGCCCCCGTATTGGTCCGTGCTAGGAACAGTCTCTCTGGAGCTGCTGGGGGCTGGGAGGTTGGAAAGCAGTGAACCTCTGCAAACAGCTGGATCTCCTGCCCTCCATGTATTCATTACGGGGCAGCTCCTTAGACTCCTCTGCCTCTGGGATGAGCCGCTGTGCTGCTGGGTCTGTCTAGGTGCCATTCCTCCAGGGCCTTTCTCTAGTTAAAGTCTCCTGTTAGCTATGCCTGGACAGGTGAGGGTGACCCTGGCATCTCCCCCAATTGCTGCTCCACCATCTGTCAGTGGCATTTGTGCACTCTTTCTTCTGGTTGCTATGACTCGGTGCCAGAAGCTGCTGTTAGCCCCAGGGTATCAGTCCTAGAGATGACGGGCGTGGCTTAAAAAGGATTCGTGGTTGAAAACTAGTGTGTGGGAAGCCCTGTATATGAGTCAAGGCAGCACGAAAGACCTCTTAAAAATCATAAATAGTGTTTGTTTATTAAAAGGGTCTCAATCCAGGTGAATTTCTGTGGCCCGATGTCTGTCACCTGCCTTGAAATGGGGCCGTTGATAGTTTCCTTGCAGTTCTGTTGGCGTGCTTCTTGTGACTCTGACTTTATGGCAGTCTGTATGTTCTTGGCCAGCTTGCCTGTTGCAGACGCCTCTTGTTAACTTGTCCCGGGTCACCTGTTCAGAGCTCAGTTGTGTTGATTTCTTGCCTGCACAAATCTATAAAAACATTTGCACGTCCCTTTGGCTCTGAGCATGTCTCCCCCCTGCCATAAAGGTTCAGAATGGACCATCCTGTATTCAGAGACTGTGTGGTTTCATGGGTAGAGTTTAATGGACTGGAGACGTGGATTCTATTCCCAGCTCTGCCACTGAGCTGCTGGGTGGCCTTGGGCAGAGCACTTCCCTGTTCCATCTGACACCTTTTGTGTGTCTTGTCTATTTAGATTGTAAGCGCTTTGGGGCAGGGACTGACTCTGGGTCTGTACAGTGCCTAGTGTGATAGAAGCCCCAATCAAGATCAGGGCCGTAGTGCTACTGTAATACAGGGAGTAATTAGATATTTCCAATGTACCTTTTGTGGCTCACTCGCTCTACTGGGGTGTTTATTGGCCAGCTTTGGAGAAAAGAGGTCACGGTGACTTGCTCTGCTGTAAAATCTTCCATCATGGAGGCTCCTGAAGTGCTACAGTCTTTACATAGAGCACCGCTGAAATGCAATCACTTCTGGGGAGGAGTGCGGCAGCCAGGTGCCCAGCACGCTGCACTAGGAGGAGTTTTGGCCAAGGATGTTGATGTAAAATGCCTTGGGATCTTTCCTGCTCTCACAAGACAAGGCAGGACCTCGGTTTTCCAGGCGATGGGTTTCACTCGCAGTCAGAGTTGAGTTTAGGATGGGGAACACGCTGCAGTTCTCCCAGCAGCACCATTCATCAGCCTCTCCTCCCTCATTTCTACAAGGTCAGCTGCCTGCAAATCTCCCTGCCGGTCACTTGCTGTGTAATGCTTGGGGGGCCACCAGATGGCGCTCTGAGCATGCAGCTTTGTCTGCACTCTGCCTGGCTGGTGTCCCAGAGATCTTGGTGGCTTTAAATAGCGGCTCGCAGGCTCCCAGGATTGTAGCTACTATGAGCAGCAGTGACTGATTCACCTTGGGAGCCGAAGGGCTCCACGTACGGGAGAGATTTTGATGCCGGGGCTCAGGGCGGCTGCAGAAGACTCCCAGGGCATGGCATCACGGGAATGGAGATGGTCCTAACCCAAACCACTGAGTTCGCCTCCTTACGTCTATGCAGCAGCTGGCTTTTATTTAGCATCACGCTGGCCTGAGCTATGCCCACAGCACCGCCAGGCTCTCGTCCAGTCAGCTCGGTGGTAAACCCACAGTCCTGCTGCTCTGCGTGAGCATCAACGGTCTCACGGTGCTTCTGAAAGAATAGCATCCAGTGTGCTGGTTGGCTGCTGCTCTCCACCCCAGAGCAGGCTGCCTTTCAGCACCCTCTAAGCAAGCGCTCGCCTCTGCCCGAGTCAGGCATAACAGCGTGGGCGGAGCTGAGCCTAGGGCTGCAACAGGGATATCCAAGTAGCTTCCCTTTGTCCCTCTCCTTTGATCTCATGACTGCATTGCAACCCAACCTCATGGGTTTGGAATAGCCTGAAATTCCCTGGCCCTCAGTCATGCTGGCAGCTGCCCCGCCGCCATCCTTCAGTTACACGCTCTCTGCCCTCTACCAGATGCTCCCCGTCTGCAGCGTGGCTGGGAGCGAGCTCTGACGGGATGTGATACGAGGCATGTGTTGGAAGCAGGCTCCGACGTAACAGTGGGATTCGGCTGCTTTGCTGTTAGAGTAGGAGGAGGATCCTGTAAGGGAGAAGGGGGCATATTCAGAACATGGTTCTCTGCCCTTGGTCCGTTAACGCCGTTTTCCAGCCTCTGCTAATGCAGAATGACAGGTGGATGCATGTGTTCGGAGGTGCTGAGACCTAGAGATGTCGGGGCTTCAGGTCTCTCTCCTCCCAAGCTTGCAGTTGGCCCTGTAACCCCACTAGCTCAGGCTGTGACTTCATTGCATCTCTCCAGCTAATCAGGGTTAGGACTTGGTTGGGAGACCCTGCGAGAAAAATCCAGAACGCCGCAGGAAGTGGTGCCAGGTCACTAGGAGACGCGCTGCCCATTGAGCCAGAGGCACCTGGCTTTGCAGCTGGTGAGGTCTCCTGTCAGCTGGGACATAAAACCGAGGACCTGACTGCTCGTGTGATCTTGAATGGTTGGAGCAGGTGTGTTAGCCCCCGTGCTCCATCGATTTCCAACATGGGTATGTGAGCTCTGCCTGGCTTCAGATCCACTGTCCACCTCTTGTGCCAGGCTGCTGTATGCCGTTAAACAACGGCCATGCCCCAACACAGCAGCTGGATTTCAGAAATTGGTGATGTCTCCTTCTACACCTCCGTGGGGCTGAATCCTGGGCCAGTGGGATTGTAGGTGTGGGGCACCTCTCAAGGTTTGACCCATCACAGGTTTCCAAAGTGCCTTGCGGACAGAGCTGGGGAAACCGACACGGCAGAGCGGGAATGTGCTTGGGAAGGGCGGTGGGTCCTGCTGCAGGGACGAAGCCCCACGCAGGGGAATCAGGCCTTCGTATTTCCAGGCAGCGTCTGGCAGGCCTGAGGCTCTGCCGTGGGAGCTAGGTTTCTGCTCAGCGCTGCACGAATGGAACATGAAGGTTAAGCCGGGCCCCTTGGCGGAGGTGGATGCGGAGCAGGGAAGGTAATGGATGTAACACGAGGCTGGGGATGTTCTGGTAAATAGCACTTCAATCCCAGTGCCTCCTTCGTTTCCCGCGGCTGGCCCACGTGAAGCACATGGGCAGAGAGGGCTCTGTGCTCTCCCAAGGGACTGGATCTTGCTGGCCGGTGCCTCTGCTGACACTTGGGTTGCTGGTTTTAACCATCCCGGGTGGCTGAGGGGTCCGTCTTCTGCTGGCAGCTCCTGTCCCGCGCTCCCTGCAGCCTGCGTCGCTGGTTGTGCTGCCTTTCCCCTGTTACAGCGTGGGTAGAGAGAGACGGATTCCCGGCTGATGTACGTGGACAAGTTCCAGTCAAGTCTGTAGGCCCAGTCCCCGGCTGTGTGAGTCGGCAGCTCTGTCGAAGTCAATGGACCTGTGCCCCAGTAGGCCAGCTGGGGCTCCGGCCCTCAAAGGGTACAGCTACCCTGCAGAAAAACCCTGCAGCTGCATGTCTCAGAGCTGGGCTCACCTGACTCAGGCCGCTGGGCTCCCAATAGCGGTGTAGACATTCCCGCCCGGGCTCTGAAACCCAGCGAGGGGGGCGGGTCTCCAAACCTGGGCTCCAGCCTGCGCCTCAGCATCTACGCCACTATTTTTAGCCCCTCGGTGCAAGCCGGAGCCGTTGACCCGGGCTCTGAACCTCGCTGCTACTGGGATGTGGGGCACTGTAGACGTACCGAGTTCACATGTGGGTGTTCGCATGAATTCAGTCACGTGTGCAATTCCGCACGCTCCCAAGCAGAGGCCAGGAAAGTGTCCTGAGCGCTTTCTCCTTTTCCCCTTGCTCTGTCATCTGAGTAACTGCCCCTCAGGCTGGCATTGTCTTTACTCCTGGCAGGGACGCGGGCTGATTTCCTGCCTGTCAAATGCTCTGCCCGTCTATCTAATCCACTGGTTCTCAGCCTTATCCACTCTGAGACCTGTCTCTCATCCAGCTGGCATCTAGCCAGAACCACCCCCGCCCCCCATTTAGCTGCACGGGTAAGACCAGGGGGTCATGATTCCCCCCCCAGTGCCTGGTCCTGACCCCACCTCTCCCAGGCTGAGAACCTCTGGGCCAGCCTCCCCTTGGTTGCACAGTAGAAACTAGTTCATTTCAAACCCTCTTTGGCTCCCGCTCCCTCTGTTAACTGAAGGCATTTTGCAGGCCCCGTTTGAAAGGCTCCCCATGGACAATGCCGGCGCTGCGTGGGGGAGCTGAGGCTCTGCCCCAAAGAGCCCGTGGCTGGCGCACTGCAGCACAGATCATTGGGACGGGGTGTCTGTGGGGTGAGGCTTCCTGGTTCACTTGGGATTTCGGAGACGTTGGAAAGGGCAGAGGGGTGCATGGGATAGAGCCAGCTGTACGGGGTGGCATGAGAGAAGGGCAAGGGATTGCTGTGTCAGCAAAGCCGCCCCCTCTTCTGGCCAGGGCAGTGTGTCGAACCCATTCTATGTAGAGCTGCCCTCGAGATCCTATTGGCTCCTGCCCCGGGTCTGTAGGCCCGGGCAGCGCGGCAGCTGGAAGCCTGGTAGCACGCGACAGAAGTTCCAGCTCTGGTGCTCTGTCTCGGTAGGTGTCTGCATTTCACAATGGCCAGCGTCTCCAGCTGAGCGTGACTCCCGGTGCGCTGGCTGACACCTGACTGCGCTTGGCAGGAGGAGAGGCTACAGCAGACCTGGGCCAGAGGGACCGTTCCATCGGGGCTCCCCAAGGTGGGGCTTGCTCTGATCCACATGGTTCCTTTCTTCTCCTCTCTGGTGTGCATCTTGCTTAGTCTCTGGTTCCCTGTTTGCACCATCCCTTGTCCTGTGCTTAAACATTAATCGTCTTCCTGGGTAGATATTCCCTCCCTCTCCTCCGTCCCCCCTGCTGATCCATACCTGTCTCCCCAGATGTGTGCAGCAGCTGGAAGAGGATGGTTTCAAGCTGGACGAGCTCTTCAAAGACGTTGTCTACGAGGAGGACGAACGGGAGATGGTGCTGAAGGCTGTCAGGATAATCGAGCCGAACTTTCATCCGCTGTCTCAGCCCTGCTCGGAAATTTGCACTTCTCCTTTGCTCCGGGATTTCTACTCCAAGGTAAAGGGGGGCTGCTGGGCGCATGTGCCCGGGGATCCTGCAGGGCTAATGACATTTGCCCTTTTGGGATAGGCTATTTGGGGCACAGAGCCCTTGTTATCGGGGTGATTGTCACAGAACTGGTTGCACAGACCACGAGCCCCTTGAGTGAACCAGCAGTATGACTAGCAGTGAGCACGGATACATGAATCCTTCCAGCATCCCCAAGAGGCAGAGCCAGCTTTATAGATGGGGAGAAAGGAGCTGGGAGAATAAGTGACTTGGCCAAGGCCAGAGAGGGAGGCCTGTGTCAGAGCTGGGATGAGAACTCTCAGGTTCCTGACTCCTAATCCTGTGATCAGTCCCATTCGGCCATGCTAAGAGCTGGGGTTCGGTCCCTCCTGAAGGCCTGCTAGCTGGCGGTTTGGCTCCCAAGGTGCCTCACTTGAGAGCCATGGAAAATGGGGCCTTATGTCTCGGGAGGGGGGGAATCCACTGCCAAAAACAGCTGGAAGTAGTGCCCACGCCAGGTGTGTAGGGTGCTAGCTCGTTGCTGGAAATAAAGCTGGCAAAGGCATGGAAGCAGATTAGTTTGATGTACGACTGTAGCGTCTCATCTAGTTCGGCCAACCACACGGAAAGGGGAGAGGCTGCGTGGGGCCAGCCCCGGAAGCTCCCTCATTCTGCTCACGAGGTTGGGATTCTAGCGATGACCCTCATCTCGCTGTCACCCCTGCCGAGGAGGCAGCCTAGGTTTCAGCTGTGTGGGTGCTAGCCGGGGACCCGGATTCAACGCCTTGCTCTGCCACAAGTCACTAGGGGGGTCTCTGCCTCAGGTCTGTAAATGAGGGACTATTTACACCTGGGAGCATCCAGCCGCTGAGCGACAGAAGCACCCGAACGCCCTGTACCTGAATCCCAGCACTCACCACCTCTGTCTCCCTGCAGGAAAAGCCGGTCTCCTACCCCAAGCTGGACTTCTCGGTGCGCGAGCTGCGGGAACGCTTCCGGCAGCAGCTGGAGATGGAGGCTTCCAACACCGTAACCATCAGCTCCGTGGAGTCGGCCAAGCCCCTGACGGAGCAAGCCAGCAAAGCGGTAAAGCCTGGCGCTCGCTGGAGTTACCGTAGGCCTCCTCTGAGAGCAAGGGCTGTAAAAGGAGTTTGGGTGGCTCTGTAGAAGGTGTGCCTCCGGCTCGGCCAGAGGCGATGAGCTGCATGTGGGAATCATTGGGGGTGTTAGGCAGGAGGTCAGACTAGACGATCAGCGTGAGCCTTGTGGCTGGAGATCACTGGCTATCCAGCGAAGTGCTGCCGGAGCCTTACGCCCAAACCGTGCCGGGGGTTACAGCAGTATTGGAAAGTCAGTAAATACCCACAATTCGAAACTAAAGAGCCTCATTCAAAACAAGCAGGGGACTAGATCCCCCCCCGGGTGTAACCCCCTACTCCACAGGGTTGGGTTTGTTAGTGCCTCGCTCTGGATTATCTATGAGCATTCCGTGTAATAACTGATGCCCTGGGGGTAGGGGAGTAGAAGCCGTTCTGTGCTCTGTGTAAACAGAACGCCCTGCTGAGAGAATGTGGAGATTGAAGGCTGGAGGATCCCTTTGCTTGGGGAGTGCCCCCTTGCTGGTGCATTCGGGGAAGTGCTTCCTCAACTCACTGACTCTATAGAGCAGCTGGTGGTTGCATTGGAGGGCAAGAGAATTAAAGAAAACGTAGCCAGAGGCAGGCAGTGAGATAGAGGAGGCGGCAGCGGAATTCTGGCCCTGATACTTGGAAAGGGGGTGAGAGCCTGGTGTGGGTCTCTAGAGACCCACAGACCTGGGGAATGGGGAAGCCCACCGGCGAACTCCTGTGCCCTCGGTTAGCCCACACCTGCCTCTGCGCTCGCACCGTGTGATTGCCAAGCAGCTGACCGCCTTGTTTGCCTGTGTGCAGCGGGAGCTGTTGACCACGCTGCGCTCTGAGTGGCGGAAGTCCCTCCTCCAGACCCTGCAGGAGTCTAAGATCCACATGGCGAACAGGAGGTCCTGGCAGATGAGCCTCTATCCCTACCTGTGCTTGCTGGAGGACGAGGAGTACGTGGACATCATGCTGCAGGTAGAACACTTTCCCCCGCCCCGTTAGGCTGCCGTGCGGGAACGGAAGAGTCTCTCTTGGCCGATGAATCGGGCTTGCAGCTGTGCCGCGGGGCACTGTCATGGGGGGATTTGCATCTGGGCCTGCAGAACCAGAACTTGTGCCATGAGCCTGGACCGGGTCTTAGATCAGGGCCACGTTTGCTCCGTGTGCTGAGTAGCAAGCCCACGATCTAGCCTAGCTGTTCCTTCATCTCGATCTTGGCTGCGTCCTGCTGGCTTTTGTCTGTGTCGCACTCTCCCTTTGCTGCCGGGAGCCTGGGTGGTGCCTTTAACGCCCTGATTGATTTGCCCTTCTCCCCTAAGACCCTCGCTGCCTCCCCCTTTTCAGATCCTCTCCAGCCTCCCTCCCCAAGGAGAGTCCCTGCTGGTTTTAGCTAAAGAGCTGGGTGCCAAGATCCACAACAAGTACGCCGTCCGGAAGAAATTGCGCAGCCGCCTGCTGAAGAAGATCCAGAAGATCTATGACGCCTACGCCCAGCTGCTGGCAAAGGACACCCAGGTAGGCCTGTCTTAGCTCCCTGCCCCAAGAGTGAGGGGTCCTCCAGGCTGGTGGGCCATGGCGGCTGGGTGTGATAGGGACACGGGCAACTGTAGCTTCCAAGGCCTGGACCCGGGGCCTTGTCTCAGGCTCTCCAGTCAATGCGAGCAGCTCTTTGCGGGGAAGCAGCCTGGGCAGCAGATGGCTTCCTGGGTGGGGCAAAGGGCTGCGTCTCTGTCTGCGGGATGCCCTGCGTGCTGAGCCCACGTCCGTGGGGAGGAAGCACTGACTGAGGGGTTGGGGTGTGAAGGGCGCTGCTCCCCCAACACCTAAGATGTTTGGGATTTTCCAGAGGCTTTGGGGTTTGCTGTCAGACTAACGTTCCCCAATGCAGGACTCTCGACAGCTGAGAGTGGAGGAGTCGTTGTCCTAGGGCTCGGTAGGTTGGAGGACGTCTCCTAGAGACTCTGCCTCTGCAAACGTCCAGGGCTTGTCTCCTGGGAGGGCATCTCGGGAACTGCAGGTTCCGGAGAAGAGGCCGCGAGAGCTAACGAAACCACTAGCCTGTCTGGCGTGCCTGGCGGTCTCTTCCTTCCCGGGTGTGGCTCCGGGAATGAACTCCACTGGCAGAGCCGGAAGGGTCGCCCGGGCACCGCTTGCCCAAGCTAGACCTGGCTCTGGCTCAGGAGCGACCATGGGTTTGTACAGCATAAGCACGGCCGGTGAAGTTGGCGCTCAGAGCTGTGTGTATGTGTGGAAGGTGCAGATCTGGAAAGGCGAGAGGGTCGTTGCAGGTCAGGCTGGAGGGGGTTGGCAGAGGCTGCTTGTAGGAAGCCAGCCCCTTTCCTGCCTGCACTGACCATGCCTGTGTGGCTTTGCTCCTCAGCTGTCGCGCCTGTTCACATTTACACACAGTGTGCGGCTGCCCTGCGGGCGTGGCGGGGGAGGAGCGCTCCTCGGCATCGCTCCCACCCGCACTGTGCGTCCTCGGCTGCCCCTCTCCAGAAGGCCCCCAGCCCCCGGAGGCAGCGCGGAGGGTTATCTGACCCAGATTCCAGACAGCTCAGTCGGCCCCAATTAATCTCTCAGGAGAAATAATTGCTGCTCACGCTGGGCCGTTCTCCTCCTGCCTCCTCAGCTGGATAGTTACCTGCCGCGGGAGTACTGGGAGAAGCTGGAGGCCAGCTCGGGGTCCTCCCTGCTCAGCAAGGACTGCACCTGGCCTCACATCCTGATGGTGCAGCTGGGCGTTCACATGGTGGAGCTCCTCGTGCAAGTGATCAAGGTACAGAGCAACGTCCTGAACCCCAGCTTGGAGGCGAAACTCATCCCCGTCCTGTATCACGTCTACTCCTTCCGCAGCAGCCGGCAGGTAAGGGCCCCAGGGCAGGGAGGGGTCTGTAACCAGGCATCTGGACCCTCCATCAGAACAAACCCACTAGATCATCAGGTCCGGCCTTCTGCCAGCACCAGGTGTGGTCCCCCATCCTCTTGGAAGGCATCGCTATTCAACTGAACATAAGAACGGCCCTACTGGGTCAGACCAATGGTCCATCTAGCCCAGTATCCAATGCCAGGTGGCCAATGCCAGGTGCTTCACAGGGAATGAACAGGGAATCATCAAGTGATCCATCCCCTGTTGTCCATTCCTGGCAAACAGAGGTTAGGGACACTCAGAGCATGGTGTTACATCCTGCCCATCCTTGCTAATCCCATGAATTTATCTAGTTCTTTTTTGTACCCTGTTATAGTTTTGGCTTTCATAACATCCTCTGGCAAAGAGTTCCACAGGTTGACTGTGTGTTGTGTGAAGAAATACTCCCTTTTGTTTGTTTTAAACCTGCTGCCTATTCATTTCATTGGGTGACCCCTGCTTCTTGTGTTATGTGAAGGAGTAAATAACATTTCCTTATTCACTTTCTCCACATCACTCAAGATTTTATAGACCTCTCTCATATCCCCCCTCAGTCGTCTCTTTTCCAAGCTGAAAAGTCCCAGTCTTTTTAATCTCTTCTCATACGGAAGCTGTTCCATACCCCTAATCATTTTTCTTGCCCTTCTCTGTATCTTTTCCAATTCCAATATATCTTTTTTGAAATCTGCACACAGTATTCAAGATGTGGGTGTACCACGGATTTATAGAGAGGCCTTATATTTTCGGTCTTGTTCTCTATCGCTTTCCTAATGGTTCCTAACATTCTGTTAGTGTTTTTGACGGCCACTGCACGTTGAGCAGATTTTTTCAGAGAACTATCCACAATGAATCCTAGATCTCTTTCTTGAGTGGTAACAGCTAATTTAGACACCATCATTTTGTACGTGTAGTTGGGATTATGTTTTCCAATATGCATTACTTTGCATTTATCAACATTGAATTTCATCTGCCATTGTGTTACCCAGTCACCCAGTTTTGTGAGATCCCTCTGTAACTCTTCACAATCTGCTTTGGATTTGATTATCTTGAGTAATTTTACCACCTCACTGTTTGTTCCTTTTTCCAGATCATTTAGGAATATGTTGGACACTACTGGTCCCAGTACAGACCTTTGGGGGACCCCACTATTTACCTCTCTCCATTCTGAAAACTGACCATTTATTCCTACCCTTTGTTTCCCATCTTTTAACCGGTTACTGATCCATGAGAGGACCTTCCCTCTTATCCCATGACTGCTCACTTTCTGAAAGTCTCTGAAATACACTATATCCACTGAATCACTCTTGTCCACATATTTGTTGACCCCCTCAACGAATTCTAATAGATTGGTGAGGCGTGATTTTCCTTTAACATGATTTGTTGGGGGAAGAGTCAACATGTTTTTTGTAATCTATTTATCTGTTCTTTACTATAGTTTCAACCAATTTCCCTGAAGGCAGGCTTACCGGCCTGTAAGTGCCAGGATCGCCTCTGGAGCCTTTTCAAACAATTGGCGTCACATTAGCTCTCCTCCAGTCATTGGGTACAGAAGCTGATTTAAATGATAGGTTCCATACCGCAGTTAGTAGTTCTGCAATTTCATATTTGAGTTCCTTCAGAACTCAGATGAATCCCATCTGGTCCTGGTGATTTATTACTCTTTAATTTATCAATTTGTTCCAAAACCTCCTCCAGTGACACCTCAGTCTGGAATGCCTCATACCAGCAAAGGGCTACGGTCAGGCACATGTCATGTTAGTTCTAGTTCCTTTCCTTCCTCTTCCCAGCTGCCCTGACTTGTGTGTGTGCCCCTTGTGTGCCTTGCATGCAGGCCCCGTTCCACTGACCAAATAGCTTCCTTCTCTTCCTTCCCTCCCCCCTATTCAGTTCCTGGCACACCCCACAGCTTCCCCAGAAGGGACAGAGGGTCATAAACTGCCCCTGACGGTTCAGACATCCAGGCCTGCTCCAGCTGGGACCCCCCTCACGGCCTCGCCAGCTCCAGGGTGTTCGGCAGCTTCGGCTCCTGCAGCCCCACTCCCGCGTAGCTGTCATCCTTGCTCACGTGCTGTGGGTTAAATGGATCAGCAGGTTTCGGGCAGCCGAGCATCATGGATGAACTGGAGTCTGTCCGTTTGTCTGGTTCCGAAGGGGAGGGCTGGGGCGAGAGGCCCCTTTCCCCGGCAGTGAGCGAAGTGAAGCCGCAGTGCAGGGTTACAGGAGCTTTGCATTGTGCTGCCTGACTGGACTCTCTTGGAACCCAGTCTGAAGGGAGTTGTAGCCCCCTGTGTCGCTAATGAACTTGCCCCCCTCTCCCTTCAGAGCTTCACCCTTCTTTAATTCTCCCCCCCAGATCGGGTTTATAAAGCCCCATCCGATCCTCACCCAGATCTTGTCGAACGCCGCCGAGACCACGTTGACTTTCGACTCCTTTGTCATGCCCATGCTGTGCCCCCCGGTGCCGTGGACCTCGCCGCACTTCGGGGCCTACATCCTCCTCCCCACCAAGCTGATGCGCTGCGTGGAGGGGGCCATCCAGCACCAGCTCCTGCTAGAGGAGTGTCCCCGCAGCAACCTGCACTCGGTCCTGGACGCCTTGAACCAGCTGGGCAACTGCCCCTGGAAGATCAACCAGCCCGTGCTGGATATCATCATCTCCATCTTCAACGCCAAGGGCAGTGAGAAGCTGGACGTCCCGCCGCCCCTCTCGGAGGCCCCCAAGCCATCCGTGGCCCTCCACGTGGGGCCCAGCACTCCCTGGAGCAAGTCGTCCCTGAAACGCGAGCTGACGCAGTGCAGGAAGAAGACGGCGGAAATGTACAGCCTGCGGATGGACTCCCTCTACAAGCTCTCCATAGCCAACCACATGAGGGATAAGGTGTTCTGGTTCCCCCACAACATGGACTTCCGGGGCAGGACCTACCCCTGCCCGCCCTACTTCAACCACTTGGGCAGCGACATCACCCGGGCCATGCTGCTGTTCGCGGAGGGAAAGCCACTGGGGGCGCGTGGCCTCGACTGGCTCAAGATCCACCTCATTAACCTGACGGGGCTGAAGAAGAAGAACTCTCTGCGGGAGCGGCTGGCCTACGCCAACGAGCTAATGGAGGAGATCCTGGACTCTGCTGACAACCCCCTGACGGTATGTAGCGGGGATGGTCTCTCTCGCTTTAGAGGGAGCCCAGAACAAGCCTGGCACTGCTAGCCCTCAGGGAGAGGCATCAGGAACTAAGCGACAAAGCAGAACCCTGGAATCCAGGACCTCTCGAAGCTGCTCTCAGCTCAGGTCCACACGACAAGCTTGTGCGGGCAGAGGTGCAAAGAGCTGTGATTTCCTGACCGATCCAGCTGTGCCTGCAAACGCCCCAGTGTAGATCTGTGCTGTTACTGGGGCGGCTTGTTTCGCTCAGTGGGGCTGGAATAAACCCTGCTGGCAGTAGCGCAGGTTTGCCAGTTTGCGCTAGGAGCGCTTTGCTGGTATTGTATCCGGCATCGCTACGCCGGCAAAGCGCCTCTAGATGTGGCCTCCGTGATTCTGTGAGAGAGGATCTTGCCCTGCGCCCAAAGTGGAAGCCGGTGAGCGCCTGCCCACCCTGGGTGGCTTTATTAATATTCCAGTAGCACCCTGGGGTCCCAGTCGAGACTGTGCTAGGCCTAGTGAGAGACAGGCACTGCCCTGAAGCTCTTCCAATCTAAATACGCGCAACAGGAAGGGTTGAAGAGGGATGCTGAGGCCAGGTCTACACTAGAAACTGTTGCTGGTATAATAGTGTTAGTTAGGGGTGTGATCTGCAACATTTTTATACTGGCCAAAGCCTTCGTGTCAATGCGGTTATACCGGCAAAAGGTGGTACTGCATATTTCATTGGCGGGGAGGGATAGCTCAGTGGTTTGAGCATTGGCCTGCTAAACCCAAGGTTGTGAGTTCAATCCTTGAGGGAGCCATTTAGGGATCTGGGGCAAAAATCTGTCTGGGGATTGGTCCTGCTTTGAGCAGGGGGTTGGACTAGATGACCTCCTGAGGTCCCTTCCAACCCTGAGATTCTATGATTTGGGGAGCCAGAATACGCTCCATCAGCAAAGCCTCTTTTTGCCAGTAGAACCTGTCTCTCTGCTAGGAGGTGCTGCCAATACAGCTGTACCGGCAAACCTTTTCTAGAGCGGACTAGCCCACCGATGGGTGGGGCGACTTGCCGGATGTTGTGCCGCAGGTCAGTGGCAGGAGACGTGGCTCCTGGTTCTGACCCAGTTCAATACCCAGGCGCTCTTCTACTCTAGTGCTGAGATGCTCTTCCCTCCCCTCCCCCCAGGGCAGGAAGTGGTGGATGGACACCGATGAACCCTGGCAGGCCTTGGCGTGCTGCATGGAGATAGCCAAGGCTTTGAGATCGCCGGACCCCACAGCCTACATCTCGCACTTCCCCATTCATCAGGTAAGGGGCCTGGTGGCTGTGACTGTTGGATTCCTCCTGCATGGGGCAGAGAGCTTGGGGAGCTAACAGAAACTCAGCGGGGAGAGGGCAGAGGGATGTGGGAGGCTCTGGGTCGCAGGGGTACAGAGGCTGTTGGAACTGCAGTGGTGCTTGGGTTCGACCTGTAAGCAAACAGATCCTAATTCACTCCCATGGCAAGGACCAGGCCACTTTCAAGTGCTTCCTGTTCCAGGGTATGGACAGGAAGGATCAGTGTGCACAAATCCCTGGTCTCTTCCTCATTAGCTGCCAGGCCTGTTATCTGGGTATTTATATGGCCGTCATCCCCATAGTATCTAAACCTCTCCCAAGGATCTGTAGATTCAGTCTCACTACACACTCCTGCGGGTAGGGAAGCATCACTAACTATGCTGTGCAGATGGGGAAACTGAGTCACAAAGCTGCCGTGACTCACCCATGAGTTTGTAGCAGAGCTGGGATTTGAATCCAGCCTGACCCCGTGTTGCTTTGGATCAGGCAGGCTTGCTGCGAATAGCGGTCGTGGCTGCAGTCTCTGAAAGGCATTGCAACTGCTCAGTATATGCCCCTGGGGATGGATCTCTCCTAGTCTGTAGCCAGAGGGCTTACGTCAGCTGTTCCGGGTCCTTGCTCATCTGGTCTGAGGGCTGGAGCAGAGCAGCTCTGCTGGCTGGAAGGATGAAAGCCTGACTCTGGATGAGGGCAGAGATAGTTCCTGCTGCGCTAAATGATGCGAGTCCAAGTGCTTCGTGCTCACAGCAAGGCCAGGCCCCGACGGGGCAGTGGAAGCAGAATAACCCTGAGCTTGGTCTACTCACGCTGCCGCCTCGCTAGCGGGGGCTGCCCTTACCATCCCGAGAGGAGCTGTGGTAGAAAGGATCAGTTGCTGTCATTAACCTTAGCCCTGCTCCGTTCCGTCAGCACAGCCTGAGCGCACCTGTCAGAGGCCTGTGTCGTCAGAGGATACCCCGTCATTAACATTTCCCTGCAAGAGGCATCTGTGTTTCTCCCCTTAGAGGCTGGATGCTTCTAATGGGGGCAGGGCGAGCGTGTGTCAGAAACTAACCCCAATGTCTCGGATCTCATTGGTGTGACGGCGAAAGCCGATGGGGATGGGGGCGGAATGGAAAATCAAAGATCAAGCGGAGGTGCTGGGAGTCACTTAACAGCTGGCCCATCAACCTCCCGTTGACAGAAGCAGTTCTAAGGTGGGGGCACGGCTGCCATGGGCCTGTGGATCCCGTTTTACCTGTCTGCAGAGCTGCAGGTGCCCCAGGTGGGACAGGGTGGTCCTTTCTCCTGGTGGCTTCAGCCCCCCCGAATATAGACACTGTAGCAGGAGTGGTGGGAGGTACTGAGCATCAAGGCCTCTGCGGTTCAAAGTATGTGTTGCAGGGTGGATTGATTGAAACCACCCGGTAGAAAGGCTCGATTTAAGTCATCAATTTGAATCAGCTTTTCTTTTTCTAAAAAAGGGCATTCTCATTGGTTGGGATAACCATTAAAACATGTTGATTTACACCTAAGCAGAGCCTTTCCATTGGCTTTGGTACATCAGTTTTCTACCCGGGAGGGACCGCTAGAAAAATACACATTTATTTAAGCAATTATATGGCTTAACATTTTCAGATTCTTATTAATTGAACATTTTTAATATGTTAGAAAGTGGGGAATATTACATTGCTTAGTTACTCGGTAATTAACTTTTTCCTTGTGATTGGTGTCAGGCTAGGTTAGGATGGTAACCGGAATGTAACGAAACACACAACAGCATATAACCATTAACACCCTTAAATGTTTTGGACAGATAAACTTCTCTTATCACAACATGTTTCAGATTTTCAACTAAATGGTTTATTAAACAGAGGGATTAACCACAGTCAGTGAACTAAATTGATTAGTTCAGGTCAGCCTGGGAAAATTTTCAAATAAGCCTACATGAAAGTGACTGGAGCTTAAAATCTTACTTACCTAAGTCTCTTGAAAATGAGAGAGTCTCCTAAGTTACTTAGGTGGATCTTTCGGACCATATTTATAAAGTTTGACTTCAGAAGTTAGATGTTTATTGCCCTGATTCTTTCTTTATACAGAAAAGCAGCCTTTAACGCAAAGTTTTTGATAGAGGCTCATGGATTCAGCATATGTTTTTTTTATTTAAATGTTTTAAGAGATTATAATAAGTTTAGGCCTTAACATATTTTGTATTAAAATCAGATTTCATTTTAAACAGGTTTACATTTTTAAAGAAAATGTTGTTGTTTAAATAAAATAAGAAAAATCTGATTTAAATAAAAAAAAAATCTGTTTTAAAAATTTTGTTTTCAAAAACACAGAATTTTATCCACCTTGCCATGTTGCATTTTAACTATCCTCCATAGAATTTTATCCACCCTGCCATGTTGCATTTTAACTACCCCCCCTCCAATTTCCACCCCCATCCATGTTTCCTTTTGCCTCCCCCCCCCCCCCCAATCCCATTGCTTGGTTCACACCAGGCATGTTTTTGTCTGTGTTGTCCCCCCAGCAGCTGTCGATCCAACTGTTGTGGGAGATTGCTCAGTGGCGAGCATCTGCAAAGGAGGCCTGATACCTGTCTGGTCGCCTAGACTGCAGTGCCACACTTAGGACAGGTCGATGTTAGGTTTGGTAAGGGTCAGGGTGGGGGCCCAACCAAACCCTCAGAGCTGAACACCCCAGAGTTTTGGGAGAGCTGAGATCTGGAGCAAAACTCTGGCTCAGTTGCCTCTTTGGTTTCAGGAAGGTTTTCCAAGCAACAGAGGAGAGGCAGCCTGGCCCAGTGGCTAGAGCCGTGGTCTGGGAGTCAGGAACCCTGGTTTCTATTCCTGGCACTACCACGGACGTGTTGCGTGACCTTGGGCAATTCCCTGCCCTTCTCTGGGTCGGTCTCCCCTCCCACCCTTTTTGTGTCTTAGCTACTTCAATTGTAAGCTCTTCTGGGCTGCCTCTTACTATGTTTGTACAGCGCCTAGGACAATAGTGCTCCTATAATACAAACAATATAGAACAATAATTAAAATGTTGCCATTCTTTTTTTTTTTTTTTTTAATTCCAGTGAAAACTTACTGTGGGGGTAGAGAGAGGGGCTGATTTTATAAACCTCCCATGCCATGTTTGCAACCCCGTCGTTGCAGCATCGGGCTAGTTCCAGAGACTCAGACAGTGACGCAGACGGGAGGTGAAAGGGAAACCAATGAGTCCTTTGTCCCTGCTGGGAAAAGTAAAAAAGCAAAAACGGTGCAAAGTCCACATCAAAAATTCTTCTGTCCTGAGCAGTTTCCAGCAACACTGGTGAGGGCATGAGAAAGTCAGTGGGAATTGGGTGCCTAACTCCCTTAGGCTTCACTGAAAATCCCAGCCTTGGTTTTTAACCAGGCAATGCCCCTTTAAATGGCCAGGCTCTCAGTCCCACCCTTTGTTCTTCCTGCTCGCAGGACGGCTCTTGCAACGGGCTGCAGCACTACGCCGCGCTGGGGCGTGACGTCATCGGCGCCACCTCAGTCAACCTGATGCCGTGCGACAGCCCCCAGGACGTGTACAGCGGAGTGGCCCAGCAGGTGAGACAGAGCCGGTGACCCTGGCAGGTCCCTACGGTTCACCCCTCTGCTCGGACCCACCGTGGAGCTGGTGGTCAGTGTCCCCAAGCAGAACAGTGCAGTTCCTGCCCTCCGGGGGGAGAGGAGAGGCTGAGATAGACAGCACTATGCATGCAGCAGGCTCAGTAGACATCAGCCGATTGGAATCTAGCGCCGGACTGTCCCTCTCTCCCCTGGAGGGAAGCACCGCGGTGGCCACAATGAAAATCCAGCTGAGATTGTGCTAGAAGAGGGGAGGGTGTGATCACAGTAGACAGAGAAGGAGCCGTGACCGAGAAATCCCCAAGCCATGAACCATCCCCAGGCTGCTTCTCTCTGGGTTTCCCCCAGGTGCAGATGGGGAGTTGGTGAGACAGGGTCTCCAAGCAGCAGGGAGATGCTCCGCCTGAGTTGCTAGCACCTGGCCAGCACATAGGAGGAGAATTCTCTTTCTTTTGGGCGACGTGGGAAACTGATCTCCATGGCACACTCAGTCCTCGGCCTCTCTTCAGAGACTGGGGTTTTCTTGGCATGTTTTGCAATATGAAATCGGCCTGCTGGGAACTGGACTGAGACCTGCCGCATTCATTCCACACACAGAAACTATCCTTAGCTCTTATCTAGAGCTTGTCATCTGTGGATCACCAAGGTCAAGTAGCGTTCTCCCCAATTTTCAGATGGGGAAACCGAGGCACAGAGAGCGGCTCAGCCAGAGGGTCACTGGCAGAGCCAGGAACAGAACCCTGGTCTCCGAAGGCTTGGTCCAGTGCTCAATCCACTCGGCCACACGGTGCACCTGACAGCCATTGGGTGCTGTGCCAGCACAGGGGTGCAAAGGGTCCGTATCGCAATACCAGTGCCCTGAGCTGGTGTCTCTGTGGTCCAAAAACTCCCTAGTTCCTCAGCTAGTGGCCTCTGTTATCCAGGGTGGCTAGCATGGGCCACAGTGTCTGTCGTGGGTGTGGGGGAGGGGCATTCCTAGGGCAGAGCAGTGGTCTTGGCTTGGTTTCTCCACAGTCTGTGTAGAGGGGGTGCAGCCCAGCTGGGCCCTGGGGCTCCCTCGATGACCCTATTCCTATCGTAGAATATCAGGGTTGGAGGGGACCTCAGGTGGGTCCTGATTCAGCGGCGGCAGGATCACGGCATCTCCCCCTTGGTTCCTCTCCACGCTGCCCTAGGTAGAAGAATTCCGGAAGCAGGATGCCCAGGAGGGCATGAAGGTCGCCCAGGTCCTGGACGGCTTCATCAGCCGCAAGGTGGTGAAGCAAACGGTGATGACGGTGGTGTACGGCGTCACCAGGTACGGAGGGAGGCTGCAGATCGAGAAGCGGCTCAAGGAGATCAACGGTTTCCCACAGGTAGGACGTCCAGCCCGGCTTCCCCGCTGTCCCGCCTGTGGCCGCTGCCACTGGTGCCTGGCTGAGTTTTGTGAAGCGCCTGTTTCCCTGTGGAGCGATTTCCCTTTTCCTCCTCCCCCGGCGCTGCCCTGCCCTCTGGGTCCTGCTAAGTAGATCCAGGGCAGGGGGTTCAGCGAGTGGAGCGGAATGGGACCCAGGTTCTAGGTGGTATGCAGGCCCCTTTCTCTGCCTGTCACAGGATGGGGTGGATTCTTCAATCAGGTGTATCCTGTCCCTTTGGTTTCCAGCATTGTCATCTGCTGCCCAGCCTCTCTGGCAGTAATGGGCCTCAGCTGGTGTCTTGTACAATACGAGGCCGTTCTGCTCCCTCTGGGGGTCGTATTGCCCCCCCTGAACCCCCAGATGTCTGTCTCCATGCAGCCTGCTGGTACCTGGGCTGGGCTAATGGCACCTCCTGCAGAGCAGAGGGTTTCACTCGGCACCTCTCAGCGGCTCGTAGTCCCTGTTACTTACATGGCCAATAATGCCGCGCAGAGGCCGGCAGGGTGCCCGGTGACTTGGCCCTCCTTCCATGGGAGAGGAGAATCCTGTTAAGTGCCAGAGCTCAGCTTCCTCTCCACCCACTCGGCAGCCAGATCCGGGTTCGGATTCCCGGCTCCCCTGACTTGCAGCGAGATCTGGGGTCTCAGCTAGCCCAGGTGGGAAGGCAGGTTCTGTGAGGCGGTAATCCTGGAGGAGAGGGAGACACGTCAGCAACGGCTCATCCCAGCTGTGGTCCTTCGGGTGAGAAGGCAGGCGTGTCTTCATCACAGGGACTCCCACTCCTCCCATGGGGAGCCCTTCACCCTGCCTCTGATCCACACAGGAGTACATCTGGGAGGCGTCGCATTACCTCGTCCGGCAGGTGTTCAACAGCCTCAAGGAGATGTTCTCAGGGACTCGAGAGATCCAGGTAAGGTCCCTGCTGCTTTTCTCCCTCTCTCTCTCCTTCCTGCTTTTCCCCTCACTCCCCTCCTCTTCTGGCTTCCCTGTGTGCTGGAGAGAGCAGCACCGCAGAGCTCCTGGGAGTGCTCCAAGCAGGCTGGAGAACAGGAGAGGAGCAGAGGGGGAGCCCCTAGAGATTGTCTCCTCCCATCACCCCGGGGAATGCAGCCCGATCTCTAACACCAGCCCTGCTCAGGAAGTGAATCGGGGCCACTGGATCTGGCATCTCAAGCAGCAGGTCTCTGTGGGATCCTAGCCCCACAGGAGCATTCCTGACCCCCACCCAGGTGGAATGACTCCCCTGGGGGAGGGGGCCGGAGGGTGTTGTGCCATCCATGGTGGGCTCAGAACTGCCTGTGGTGGGCGGGGACATTATGGGGTGAATCTGTCCTTAGAACCCCTGGAGCCTCTGGGGCTCTTAAAAGCTGCTCACTCCAGTCTGTCCCTGCAGATCTGGCTGACGGCGAGTGCCCGGCTCATCGCCAAGTCCGGGAACCCGGTGGAGTGGGTCACCCCGCTGGGCCTCCCCATCGTGCAGCCGTACCATCGGGCCAAGTCCACAGTGGTGAGTGCCAAGGGGAGCAGAGGTACCGGCAGCTTGTGAGCTGGGACCTCAGTATGGAACATGGGGGATCTAGATCAACGCCCCGCCAACCACCGCCCTGGACCGAGGGCATTAAGGGGCAGCGCGGCGAAGTCTCCAGCCAGTGCATGTGTGTCGAACCTTGCTGTGTATGTGTGGGTAGTGTGCTGGGAAG